AGCTTTGCTCTCAGCCCTGTGGGAACAGCAACAAGGACAGGGACACTCATTGTTGCCACTGGGGTGGCCTCAGAGGGGGTATGGAATGCTGGAATCCCCCCTGCCCACATGCTCACCCCTGCTGGCAGCACCCATTCCCCACTGGCTCCAGCTCCTCCCAGATCAGTGTGGGCTCCAGGGCCAACTCCTCCTCTGCAAGAGCCAGAGGGCAGGGGGGCAACTGTGGGGTGCACAGCTGCTCCTCAAATCCTCTGAGCCCCCCATGCCCACCCCACTCACCTCCCTCAATGTCCAGGCCACAGAGGCAGAGGAGGCAGCGCTGGGACTCGCTGCTGGCCTTGGCTGGGTCTGGGCTCAGCTTCTCCCCTGTCCTGCAGCCAACACAGGGTGAGTGCACCCCAATCCCCCACTCACTCCTCCCACCCCACTGTACCTCCACATGGAGGTCCCTGTACCGGTAAACAGTGCTGATGGTGGAGGGGAAATCCTCCTGCAGCCCCAGGAGGAAGCGCTCGATCAGGTGGTGGATGCTGGGCTTCTCCCGGTGCTGTGGGGGCAAGTGGAGAGGGTAGGGGCAAGACTGGGAGGTTTGTCCCCACCATGGAGACACAGCTTGGGATCCCCAACACGGGCCACCCCTACCTTGGTGAAGAGGGGTGGCACAATGACGGTGGGGATGTTGAAGAAGTGGTTGTAGAAGGCGATCTCCTTGGCCGTGTAGTCCCGCATGGGCCGCACCACCATCACATCACCGTGACGCTTGTCCGTGAAGCCCTGTGGGTGTGTGGCTGCCAGGGGACTGTGCCACCACCAAGCCTTGGATACCCCCCATGGCATCATGTCACCCCTCGGGTGCAGGTGACCGTCCCCAGCTCACCGTGTCAACGGCGAGGAATGCACCACGGCCCAGCGACAGGTTGGTGAGGAGCTTGATGGCCACGCGGGTGCAGGTCTCGCCCGTCATCACCTTGGAGTAGCCCCTGCTCCGGGCCATCTGCAGGATGAGGTGGGTCCTGGGGATGAGGTGACACCGGTTCAGAGCCACCATGCCACACTGGTGCTGGAGCCGGGCAGGATCAGCCCCTCACCGCAGCATCTGCAGCAGCTCCTCCCGTGCTGTCGCTGTCTCCACGGCCTCAAAGATCCGAAGCAGCTCCTGGGTTTGGGCAGTGTCAGGCAGGCGGGGAGTGTACGGGGGTCCCACTGGCATGTCCTGGGTGCTATGGCCAGGCAGAGAGGTGGCACTGTCCCCCTCCCCCTCCTGTCGCTTCTGCTGGATAAAGCTGTCCACAGCCTCCTTGTAGGAAGGGCCAGATGGGCCGGACTTGCTGGACTGCTCTGGCCCTGGCTGTAAGATGGATGGGGGCAGCTCCAGTGCCTGTGGGACAGAGATAGATACAGGGGGAAGTTGGGGTGTCCAGGTGTGTCCCCTCACCTCAGCGCCCGTCCCCATGTCACCTCAATACCTCCTCCAGGTGGATCAGGTAGTAGGGGAAGCCGGTGGCCCGCAGCAGGGTCTCCATGTGGGTCAGGGTCTGTTCCCGCTGCTCTGGGCTCTGCCTGCGCACAGCTCCCTCTGGAAGGCAGGTGGGCAGTGCCAGGGCTGCTGTCACGGTGAGGAGGGGGCACCCACCGCACCCATGGGCCAGGAGGACAACCCAGGGTGCCCCAGCCTTGCTGGGCTGGGTGGCAGCACCCTGGGTCTGGCATGGTGCAGTGGGATCCTATGCTGGGAGCAGGTAGTGGGGCAGGGAGGGGGGAGTGGGGCTGGGAATGGGGCAGGGAGCAGGCACTGGGGCTGGGAGCAGGCAGTGGGGCCGGAAATGGGGCAAGGAGCAGGCAGTGAAGCAGGGAACAGACACTGGGGAAGGGAAGGGGCAGCAGAGCTGGGAGCAGGTAGAGGGACAGGGAATGGGCAGTTGGACACGGAGCATGCAGCAGGGCCAGGAATGGGCTGGGAACAGGTCTGGGAATGGGCAGTTGGACACGGAGCAGGCAGCAGGGCTCATCCTTACCCTCAACATAGACAAGGCCGGGGACGAAGCGGAGCCTCTTGGCTGCCTCCCGGCTGAGCCCCTGGCAGAGGCACAGGGTGAGCAGGGTGGGTGAGCTGTGCCACCCCCGCCGACCCCTCCTGAGCCCCCCTCTCACCTCCTGCACCTGCCGGACCATGGCACTGGAGGCTGAGCCCCCCGACAGCGCCAGCAGCACCTGCGAGAACAGCAAGGACAGTCACCAGCCCTGGTGCCACCACTGGGTCCCCCCTCTGCATTCCCCCACCCCTGGTACCTTCTCTCCCGGGAAGATGACGCGGTTCTTGCCCAGCATTGCACGGAATTTGTGCACGAAGTACTCATGGAAGCAGCCGCTGTGGGAACCCCTGAGTCTGTTCCACTGCACCCAGGCCCCATGTCCCTGAGCCCCAACGTCCTCAAGTCCCCCACTCCCAGCCTTTTTCCTGAGACCAATATCTCAGAGATCCCACGTCCACAAGTCCCAACATCCCAGACACCAAACGTCCCTGAGACTTGATGCCTCAGAGACCCCAAGTCCCCAAGCCCTCACTTCCCAGAGACCCTATGTCCCAGAAACAAAAGTCCATGAGACACAACGTCCCCAGGCTCCCGTGTTCCCAAGACCCAACGTCTCCAATTCCCCACATCCTCAAGACCCAATGTCCCCTAGGTTTGATGTCCCCAAACCCCAAAGTCCCCAAGCCCTGATGTCCCAATATCCCCAAGTCCCGGTGTCCCCAAACATCCCGAACACCCAATACCCCCCAGCCTGATGTCCCCCATCCCACTGTTCCCATCCAATCCCTCACCGGCAGAAGGGGTCCCCGACGCGGATGATGAGGGCGGCCGTGCCCTGCCCGCACTTCATGCAGGTTCGGGGGTGGCTGTGGGGACACGGCCGGTCACCGGGGATACCGGGACTCAACCCCCCCCGGGGGCGGTACCGAGCGGGGGGTCGGCGGTCCCAGTCCCAGGGCAGCACGAGGGGCTACCGGGCATTACCGGGGGATACCAGGGGGAGCACCAGGGGGTACAGGGGCAGCACCGGGGGGGAGCGGGCAGCACCAGAGGCAGCTCCAGAGGGTACCAGAGAGATATCGGGAACACACCCGGAGAAGAACGGAGCGGTACCGGGGGGTACTGGGGTACTGGGGTAGCACAGGGGATATACCGGAGGCAGCACGGCAGGGATGCCTGGGGGATACCGGGAGGTTACCGGGGGTTCATCCTGGTCCGGAGCGGGTTCCCACCTGTCTCTCGGTGCGCGGCGGCGCCGCGGCGGCTCCGCGTCCGCCCCGCACCCGCCACCGTCACCCGACACGTCGCACATGGAGGTGCCGCTCGGCCCCGGTCAGTCCCGGTGGATCCGGTGTGTCCCGTGGGTCCTGGTGTGTCCCGGTGGATCCTGCTCAGTTCCCGGTGTGTCTCGGTGGATCCTGCTCAGCCCGGTGGGTCTCGATGGATCCTGCTCAGTTTCAGTGTGTCCCGTGGGTCCCAGTGGATCCTGCTCAGTCCCGGTGGGGCCCGCTCGGCTCCTCCCGGCCCCGCCGTGTCCCGGTGTATCCCGCCGTGTCCCCGAGCGCTCCGGTCGCGCGGCGCTGACGCGGCGGTGCCGCCCCGTGACGCCGCGCCCGCCCCGCCGCCGGCGCCGCCATGTTCCGGAGCCTGCTGGTGGCGGCGGCGCAGCGGCCGCAGGGCCCGGCCGGGCCCCCCCGCGCCGCCCCCGGGCCCGGGGCCGCGGCCGAGGCGCTGGAGGCGCAGTTCAGCTGCCCCATCTGCCTCGAGGTGTTCCACCGCGCCGTCGGCATCGCGGGCTGCGGGCACACGTGAGACGGGGCCCGGGCGGGGGCGGTGGGGACCCCCGGGATGACCCGGCGACGGGCGCGGTGCGGTCGCTGGGCGATGTCCTGGCGCTGGGATCCCTTGGGGCTCTCTGCCGAGTGACCTCGGCCGGCGACGAGACCCCCATCCCACCCCCAGTCGAGTACCGGGACCCTCACCCCACTCCCAGTCAAACACCGGGACCCCCAACCCACACTGGGTCCCCCATCCCACGCCGGGATGGTTCAGTACGGGGCATCCCGATACTGATGTGTCATCCCAGCCCCAGTCAAATATCCCACACCGGCTCCCCCATTCCCACCTCTGGGATGGTTCTGTACCAGGACCCCCATTCCCAGCCCTCCTATCCTGGTACCGAGACCCCCATCCCACCCCCTGTCAAGTACCCCTATTCCCACTCCTCCCATCCTGATACTGGGACCCTCATCCCAGTCCTCCATCCCACACTGGGGCCCCCATCTAACCTCTCCCATCCCAGGATCCTCGTCTCACCCCCCTAAGTCTGTTACTGGGACCCCCATCCCACCCCCAAATTCAGCATCATCCCATCCCACCCCCAGTCAAATAATGGGCCCCCCATTCCTACCCATCTCATCCTGGTACCGAGACCACCGCCTCTCCCATGCAGCACCGGGATCTCCATCTCAGCCCTCTCATCCCTGGACCCCCATCCCATCCCTCCTATCTTGGTATTGGGACCCCCATTCCTCCCCCAAATCCAGTACCGGGACCCCCATCCCACCCCCCCTTGTCCTCATCCTAGATCCCTCCCTCTTCAGGGATGAGGTGCTGCCCTGTCCCCCTCAGTGTTCCCCAGCCTGGATCTGATGTGGGTGTCTCACTGACCACCCAGAGCTCCCTCTGCTCCCAGACCTGGTCCCACCCCAGGACCTCTCAAACTCTTGTCTCTTTGTCCCCCCAGCATTTCAGGAACACCTTCATCCAGTTTTCCAGCTGATTTTGAGGACACCCCCAGTGGGGCTGTGGCTTTGCTTGGAGCTTCAGCGCTGCCTCACTTATCCCCCTCTAGCTTGTTTGAGGCTGGGGACAATTCCAGATCCCCTCCATGGTCCCCCTTGCTCATTCCTACTCCACTTGCAGTGGCAGAGGGTTTGAGGTGTTTCATTCCCTGTTCCTGATGACAAGAGCTGGGTAGGAAGGGACGTGAATGCTGGGATAATTGGATTTTGAGGACAGAACTGCTTTGCTTTGTGCCTGGAGGTGCTTTCCTGCACCTCCTCCCCACCTGGATTCCTCAGCCACACTCCTGGGGATATAAGGACCTTGGAAGGAAGTGATCTGGGCTCTAATGTGCTCACTCCATCCCTGCCTGTCCTGGATACTCAGCACCATTTTTGTTTGGCTCCTTTCAAATCCAGTCTCGGAGCAGCAGAATCATCTGTACGTGCAGGGAGCATCTTGGGGGCCTCCTCTCACCCTTTCCCAACCTCCCAGTTCTCCCAGTTGGGCTACTGATCCCTGGGTTTTTGGGTGCTGGGAGTCCCTGGGAATGGGTATGCCCCGATGGGATCCTGGTTTTCTTCCCAGGGTGCTCAGTCTCGCTCTGTGCTCCCAGGTTTTGTGGGGAATGCCTGCAGCCCTGCCTGCAGGTGCCATCCCCGCTGTGCCCACTCTGCCGCGTGCCCTTTGATCCCAAAAAGGTGGAGAAGGCTTCCAGCGTGGAGAAGCAGCTCTCATCCTACAAGGCTCCCTGCAGAGGCTGCAGCAAGAAGGTAAAGCTGCCAGTCCCCATCCCTATCCCAATCCCACAGCCATGGTGCCAGGAAAGGGGAGTTACTGGCTGTCCCTGGTTTGCTTCCCCAAACAAGGGTGGGATGTGGATCTGCAGGAGGACAGGAAGCTCTGTAGAGGGATTGGGACTAGCTGGATCCATGGGCTGAGGCCAGTGGAGTGAGAATCAACAAGGCCAAGTGTTGGGTCCTGCCCTTGGGTCACAACAACCCTATGGAACACTCCGGGCTGGGGGAAGAGTGGCTGGAAAGCTGGAAAAGGACCTGTGGGTGCTGATGACAGCAGCTGAACATGAGCCCAGGTGTTCCCAGGTGGGCAAGAGGCCAATGGCACCTGGATTGTACTGGCCACAGTGTGGGCACAGGACCAGGGTAGTGACTGTCCCCCTGTGCTGGGCACTGGTGAGGCCACATCTGGAATTCTGGGGTCTGATTTTGGCCCCCTCCAGTACAGACACTGATGGGCATGTCCAGAGAAGGGAACGGAGCTGGGGAAGGAGCTGGAGCACCAGGAGAAGCTGACGGAGCTGGGGGAGCTCAGCCTGGAGAAAAGGAGGCTCAGGGGGGACCTTCTCACTCTCTCCAACTCCCTGACAGGAGGATGGAGCCGGGGGGGTCAGGCTCTGCTCCCAGGGAACAAGGGACAGGGCAAGGGGAAATGGCCTCAAGCTCTAGCAGGGGAAGTTCAGGTTGGACATCAGGAATAATTTCTTCATGGAAAAGATGGTCAGGCCTTGGAAGGGGCTGCCCAGGGCAGTGATGGAGTCCCCATCCCTGGAGGTATTCAGGCAATGACTGGATGTGGCACTCAGTGCTCTGGGCTGGTGACAAGGTGGGAGGATAGGTCACAGATTGGACTTAATGACCTTGGAGGTCTTTTCCAACCAAAATGATCCCATGATTCTGTGTCCCCTGTGTCACAGCTGCTGCCCTGAGCCGAGCTGAAGGAGCTCCCTGCCAGCTGCCTCTGTCAGAGGCTGCAGCTCTTATGGGACAGTCGGACCTTCAAAAGCAGGTGGAGGTTTTCCTGCAGCATGGAAACCCTTAACTTTGGGAATCTTGTCACCCCTGACTGCAGCCCAGGAGCAATCCAACATGGTGTTAGTGCACTTTCAGGATTTCTCCCATCAGCAGTTCCTGCTTTTTGAAGGAAAATGGAGTTGGTGCAGCCTGGGCGGCTTGTGGGGAACCTCTGGGGATCCCTGCAGGGACAGTGCATCCCCAAATCTCCGTCCTGCGAGGAGGGACGGGTGGGTGCAGCATTTCCACTGCTGTGGGTCATCCTGCACAGACCAGTGATCACTCAGATTTGGGCTCCAGGTCCAGCTCCAGTGCTGGCTCCTGGAAGGTGTTCCCGCAGCCCAGAAATGTTTCTTGTCCTCCTCCAGGTGACCCTGGCCAAAATGCGCTCTCACGTCTCATCCTGTGCCAAGGTGCAGGAGCAGATGGCCAACTGCCCCAAGTTTGTTCCAGTTGTCCCCACATCCCAGCCTATTCCCAGGTATTCCTGCGCCTTGGGTAGGGAAGCATGTCCCTCCTTGCATGCCCCAAAATCCAAGCATGTGTTTTACCTTTCCCTGTCTAATCACAGGGAGGAATATCAGCATTTTTCCCTCCTGGCACCCACGGCCCTTGTACTGCTCCGTGTTTTGGAGTGTGAATTGGGATGAAGGACCCAGGGGGTGGGAAGGGGTTGGGCCGGTTTCTGCTCTCACAAAACTGAGCTGGGTTAGTTTGGAAGGAGTCAACCCAGCCCCTTCCCTGGGGATCTGAGCTTTTCCTTGCTCTCCTTAGCAACATTCCCAACCGCTCGACGTTTGTGTGTCCGTACTGCGGGGCCCGGAACTTGGACCAGCAAGAACTGGTGAAGCACTGCATGGAAAACCACAGAAATGACCCCAACAAAGTGGTGAGTGATGCTGGGATGGGCTGGGATGTGCAGGGAAACTCCTGGGAATCCAAATACACTGCCCCAGGCCACTGGCATGGATGTGTGTGAGGTACAGCTGTGTTTCCAGCTGGTTTAATTTGTTTAAATCCCTTTGGGAGGTGGAGACCTGTCTCTGATTTGTTAGAGACTCCCTGTTTAGCACTTTCTCTGGCCACTCTCTGTCAGAAAGGGGGGGTCACCACTCAACCTCTCAGGGGGGTCAAAGCAGAAGGATCCATGTCCAGCTGTCACTGTTCCCGTGTCCCTGTCCCTGCAGGTGTGCCCGGTGTGCTCAGCCATGCCCTGGGGAGATCCCAGCTACAAGAGTGCCAACTTCCTCCAGCACCTCCTCCACAGGCACAAGTTCTCCTACGACACCTTCGTGGTGAGTCAAAAAAAAGGGGGACCCCCCTCCCTGTGTCCTGTGCAAGAGGGTGAAATTCGCCCTTCCCTTCCCATGCCAGGATCAGCCCATCCCATTGGGAAAGGGACAGATCCTCCCTTGGGCTCCGCAGGAGGCACGTGGCATACGTGTTCCCCACTCGTGAGACCCCCACCCCGGGGGTGCTGAGCTGGTTGTCCTCACAAAAGGAGGAGAGGGAAATGCTCCTGCTCTCCGCAAAGATTGTTCCATTAAACTTTTCCCCTGAGGAATTTTAACACAAAAAGCCTTTTCTTTGAGGTTTCAGGAGCAGGCGGAGAGAAACAGCCCAGCCTTGGGGTTTGGGGGGGTGTGGCTGCTCCATATGGGGGGTCTGTGACCCCTTCTGTGTGGGATTGAGGGTGTGATGGCTCAGCCTTGGCTGCAGCGACCCAAGGGAGGTTTTGTTCCCATCCTGCTTTTATTGGATAGATGTCAGGGAAAAGAACCTCCAAATATTTACAGAGGAATATCCCGGTTTCAGAAGCAATTGGTGTGTTGGATAAACCAGACCTGGAGCGCTGAAAAAACCTGTGGCCTTGCTAGAAAGCTTCACCCTTTGGCCTCAGCTTGTGTGGGCATGTTCCATCCTTGCTGCCAGGTGTAGGATTGCAGGCAGGAGAGGGATGTGGGCACAAAGCACACACCAAAGAGCACGGGTTTCATTCCCAAGATCTTTGTGCCAGAGGAACGGAGGCTCACAGCCTCCATGGCACGACCAGGAGCAGGCAGGGCTCCACGGAGACGGTGTGCCCTAGCTGTGCCAGCTCTCCTGAGCATCCTTGTTTTATTTTTAGGATTACAACATCGACGAGGAGGCAGCGTTGCAGGCAGCCCTGGCTCTGTCCCTCTCTGAGAACTGAGGGGGATCCCCCTCCCCGCCCCGGCTCCTTTTGCACACTTGGCCTTCCGGGAGACATGGATCCCATGGGCATCCCCGGAGCCCCACTGCTGCCTCTCTTCCCTCTGCTCTGGGGGCAAATCCCACCTTGTTTCAGAAGGTGGAGTCTCCTCATTGTCGTGGTGATGAAGCAGAGACATCTGGAGAGAGGAGCCGGCACTGAAGGGCTGGGATCAATCCTGGTTTAGGCATTTCATATCCGTACTCGGAGCATATCCTTGTGTCCAATCTATTTATTATTAGATGCTTTTTGGCACACTTGTCCTTGCTCTTTGTTGCAATCAAATAGGTACCTAAAACTGATATATTTGATGCAAAACACCCTGATTTGGGACTGGTATCATCCCCATCCTTTTAAAAAGGAGGAAAACAGCACGGAGCATCTTTTTGTAAACACTCCAAGGATTTTTCTAGAGATGTCGGGCTGTCCTCACCCCTGTGCTGGAGGCAGGAGCTGCTTCCTTCACCTGAATCCCGGGATGAGACTTGCCTTCACATTCCCCATGAGGACAGCAGGTTTGGAGAAGTCCTCGGGGATGGCATCCAGCATCCAGGGAAACTCTGTCCTCATTTTATACCGGATCTTGGGATACTAAATCCTTGCGTTTTTCTACACGAACCGGCGTGAAGCCTTTTCCACATTTTCTAGAGTGGGATCAGAAGCTGTTCCTCTTCACACTGCAATATCTGTCACCCAGGACAAGAGTATTTTTATGGAACATTATTAAGAAAGTTTATTTTTAAACAGGAAAAAACCCAAACAAATGAACATGTGGATTTGGAATGGGGCGGGAGGCAGGGACTGCATCCCGGAGCGGCGGGTTGGACTCTCTGGGGTGGTGGGAAGTGCACAGGGGTCCTTTGTGGGTCTTCCTGGGCCATTCCTGAGTCATTCTGGGCCATTCCCGGGTCTTTCTACGCTGTTCCCAGCTCTTTCTGGACCGTTCCCTTCCCTACTCAGAACTCCTCTACCTGTGAGGGAGCAGGCAGGATCCTTGTGCCACACTGGCAAGGAGCAGCTGGATTGTGTCCAGATGATGGGTGTGCATGGGATGTCTGTCCATGCAGGATCCCAGCTGGAACACTGAGCTGCTTATCCCCAGAGAAGTAGGGGATTGCATCTCCCTTTCCCAGTCTTTCCCTGGGAAGAGGGCACTGTTGATCCGAGATGCTACGTAGCATCCTGGTGACCCTTGGTCCCCTTCCTCTCTGCCCTCTCTGGAGTTGGCTCTGGAGGGCTAGGAGAGGATGGGAGGGAGATGGCACCAGTGATGGGGTGAGCCCAAGGTCCCAGTGATGGAGCTGAGGGAGGGGGTGGTGCCCAAGATCCCCTGTGCTGCCTTCCAGCAGGATTTGCAGGGAAAAGGGGTAGGAGAGGACCCCTCTGCATCTCCCTGCTCGGAGAACTCCCAAGGCTTATTCAAGACCTGGCTCCAGCTCTACTCTAGCAATACCTGCTTGTTTTTTATTTTGATTTTAGTAGTACTGGATGTTTTTGGCATCTGCAGCCCCAGGAGGAAGGTGCAGACACCCTCCACTCCCCTTGCAGGGCATGGAAAGGGCTGGAGCTGCCCAGCTCTGCTCCCTGGAGCCAGGCCAGCAAGGAGGAATAGGATCTTCTCTTACCTGACCAGCATTGCTGGCACCTGCCCAGCTTGGAGGATGTTCCTGGTGGGCTGGAGAGCATTGGCATCTTCCCAAAGGGACTCGGGAGGGTTTACTTGTCCTGTTCTGAGCTGGGACCCTCAGTTCCTGGAGCAGCCTCCATCCGAGCTCCTTGCTTTTGGGACAGGACTGTTAACCTCAGTCTCTTTCCTTCCTTCCTCTTCTTCCCTACTCTTTTTGTCCCACAGAGCCAGAGCAGGGGCAGCAACAGCTGCTTTTGTAAAGCACTTTAAGGCCCCAGGTGTGAGGGGTCAGATCTGGCCGTGCAGGTCTGTGCCAGGGATCCCTCCATGCCAGGGATCCTGCTGTGCCAGGGATCCCACCGTGCCCATCAGTGTGTCACTCACCACTTTTTTGCATAATTAGAACTTTTAATGAGCCGTCCTGTTTTTGGAAAAAAAATTAACTCGATGACGTATTTGTAGCAAACCATTTTTCTCAATAAAGGCAGTTTCATCCATGGGTGGCCTCCCCATGTGGGCTCTTTTGAGGGAGTCTCCCAAATCTCTGCTGTGGAGAGGGGATAGGGGCAATGCTCCTCCCCTCTATTCCCCTGGGTGTTTATTTAGGGTGGGTGGGATCTGTGCCCCCCTTCCCTGCTGGCAGTGACCCCATGGGAGCCCCAGTGTCATTCTTGTGTCCCCCTGTGTGCCCCCCAGCACCGCCAGACACCTGGATTTGTGGGATGTTTTCTAATGGGAGTGAGTGACCAGGTGGTAAAAGTACCCCTGCGAGGACACAGGCAGCAGGGCCTGGCTGGGGGTGCCCAGTAGGCCACCTGGGGCCTGGGGGTGGCTCCTAGTCCCTGCTGTACTGGGAGCACTGGGTGGGGGGCTCTGGGAGTGCTGGAGACTGGGGCTACTGGGATCACTGCAGGGGGACTGGGAGCATTGAAGGGATGCTGGGAGCTCTGGAGGGGCACTGGGGTGCTGCTGTACTGGGCATACTGGGGGCGCTGGAATCACTGGGATCCTGGTGGCCCTGAAGGCTCTGGGACCACTAGGAGAGTGCTGGGGATATTTGGAGCACTGGGGTGTGGAGGTTACAGGGGGTTGGGAGCACTGGAGATCCTGGGAGCGCTGGAGGTGTACTGGGGATACTGGGGCACTGCTGGAGTCACTGGGTGAACTGGTGCATTGGGGGAGCTGGGGGTACCGAGGGCACGGGGAGCACTGGGGTAACACTGGAGCACTGGGGTGCTGGAGACAGAGCAGTCTGGGGAGCACTGGGAGCGATACTGGCAACAGTACTGGGAACACTGGGAACACCACTGGGAGCACTGGCACCCCCTGCGCACGCGCAGCCCCTTCCCGACTCGAATATGGCGCCCCCGCACTCCCATCCCAGCGCCCCCGGGGGGCGGGGCCGCACCGTGGTCCGATCGCTGCCATTGGGCACCACATGCCGGGCCCTTCCGTGCTGACCAATGGCGAGGCGAGAACCCGCCACAGGTGACGGTGATGTGCATGGCGTGGGGGCGGGGCCTGAGGCCGGCGGCGGTGCCGGGAGCGATGGCGGCGGAGCGGGCGCTCGCCATGGCCACCTGCACGGCCCCCGTGAACATCGCCGTCATCAAGTACTGTGAGTGCGGGACTGCTCGAGGACGGGACACCCGGGTGGGGGCGGGCCGGGCTCGGGGACAGGTTTGGCACCTGCATGGGGGGGGGTACGCAGGGCACAGTTGCCGTGACGGACCGCGCAGTGCTATGTCCCCCTGTGCCGTGCCATGCCTTGCTGTGCTATGCCATGCCGTGCTGTGTCCATGCTTTCCATGCCTTGCCATCCCTAGCTGTGCCGTGCCATGCCAAGTGGTGCTATGCCATACCATGCCATTCAAAGCCGTGCCATGCCTTGCTCTCTTACAGGGGGCAAGCGAGACACCGACCTCATCCTGCCCATCAACTCCTCCCTGAGTGTGACGCTGCACCAGGACCAGGTAAATCTGGCTCAGGTTCGGGCTCAGGATCAGCCTCTCCTGCCGCCCCCAGCCCGTGCCCGGCCGTGGTGAGCCCCCCACCCTGTGTCCCCACAGCTCAAGACCACGACCACGGCCGCTGCCAGCCGGGACTTCACGGAGGACCGGCTGTGGCTCAACGGGGCAGAGGTGGATGTGGGACACCCGCGGATCCAGGCCTGTCTGCGCGAGGGTGAGTGACCCCCTCATTACCCTGGAGGGGGGGGTCCCTGATCCCTACCCCCCCTCACTACCCCTGTCCCCACAGTGCGACGCCTGGCCCGGAAGCGCCGGGGGGGCTCAGAGGACACGGCCACGCTCGGCCTCCTCTCCTACAAGGTCCACGTCGCCTCCGAGAACAACTTCCCCACGGCTGCCGGGCTGGCCTCATCTGCGGCCGGCTACGCCTGCCTGGGTGGGTGTGGGACAGGGCACGGGGGTGTCAGGAGTGTCCCCTCTGATCCTATCACCTCGTGCAGTACCAGGAAGGGATGGCAGAGGTGTTTCCCCCTCTGACCTGTGCCCTGCCTGTGGCTGTATGGGATGGAGGGCACCAGGAGCAGGTGGCACAGGTGGCAGGGGTGTCTCCCCCCGACTGTCCCCCTCCAGTGTTGGCTGAATGATGTGGAAAGCACTTGGAGGGGGTGACACCCCCCCCAACTCTGACCTGTCTCCTTCTGCAGCTGCGTGGTGTGGAGGGCACCAAGAGGGAGTGACACTCTGTCACCCCCTATCTGACCTGTCCCCTGCTTGTGACTGTATGGCATGGAGATCACTGGGTGGGGGGGCAGGGGTGTCCCCTCTGACTATCCCCTGCAGTATCAGCTCTGACCTGGCTGTATGATATGGAGGGGCACTGGGAGGAGGGACAGGGTGACAGGGGTGTCCCTTCTGCCTGTCCCCACAGTGTCAGCCCTGGCCCGGCTCTGTGGGGTGGAGGGCACTGGGAGGAGGATCAGGGGTGACAGGGGTGTCCCCTCTACCTGTCCCTGCAGTGTCAGCCCTGGCCCGGCTCTATGGTGTGGAGGATGAGCTGTCGGAGGTGGCCCGGCGGGGCTCGGGCAGCGCCTGCCGCAGCATGTGGGGGGGCTTCGTGCAGTGGCAGCGGGGGGAGCGGCCTGATGGCACCGACAGCCTGGCCCACCAAGTGGCCCCCGAGACGCACTGGCCGGAGCTCAGGGTCCTCGTCCTGGTGGTGAGCAATGGGAGGGGTTACAGCTGTACCCACCGCCCCCCAGCTGGGTGGGGTTTGAGAGACCCCAGTGCAGGTGGGTGCAGACCCCTGGGATGAGAGGGGTTGCATCCCACCATCTATGCCCCCACCAGGTCAGCGGGAAGAAGAAACCAGTGGCCAGCACGGCAGGGATGCAGACCAGTGTGGAGACCAGCCCCTTGCTGAAGGTATGAGGGGACAGGCCTCATCCTGCTTGGGCAGGGCCGGGTCCCCTTTCCCTTGGAATGGGGCTGGAGGGCATGGAGTGACACCCAAAGTGTTGCAGTGCTGCGGGTGTCACCAAATAGAGGTAACTGTGACCCACCTTGTCACCAAATTGGGGTGACCACAACCCACCTGTCTCAGGTGTCACTGAATTGGGGTGATGGTGACTTCCCTGCCATGAGTGTCACCAGATTGGGATGACCATGACCCATGTGCCACAGGTGTCACCAAATTAGAGTGACCACAACTAACCTGTTGTGGGTGTCACTGAATAGGGTGGCTGCAACCCACCTGCCACTGGTGTCACTGAATTGGGGTGGCCATGACCCACCTGCCATGGTTGTCACCAAGTTGGGGTGACTGTCCCATGTGCCACGGCAGCACCGGGCAGAGGTGGTGGTCCCGGAACGCCTGGCCCAGATGATGCGGCACATCCGGGAGCGGGACTTCGAGGGCTTTGGCCAGCTGACCATGCAGGATAGCAACCAGTTCCACGCCACCTGCCTGGACACCTTCCCACCCATCTTCTACCTCAACGACCTCTCGCGCCAAATCATCGCGCTGGCACATCGCTACAACGCCCACCACGGACACACCAAGGTACCGTCCAGGGCCCTGCAAGTGCTGTGACACTGTGGTCCCTCTCCAGGCCCCCACAACCCCCCAATCCCACCACAGGTTGCCTACACCTTCGATGCTGGCCCCAACGCCGTGATTTTCACACTGGCCGACACCGTGGATGAGTTTGTGGAGGTGGTGAGGTGCAGCTTCCCTCCTGCCACCAACGGGGACCAGTAAGGCAACCTCGTCTCTTACTGGGGAGTGGGATGACAGGGGGCTGCAGGGACAAGGACTGAGCCCTTGCTGTGCCACAGGTTCGTGCGGGGGCTGCCCGTGGGCTCGGCTGCACTGCCGCAGGAACTGATGGCCGCCGTGGTCACCGAGCCAGTGCCAGGGGCTGTCCAGTACATCCTGCACACCAAGGTGAGGGGCTGGGGGAGCGTGGAGCCTCTGGTGAGGCTCTGACTCCATCTCTGGCCCCAAGGGGGGTGGTAGGACCCCATCCCTGCGAGACTGTGTGGACTTCATTCCTGTCCCCAGAGGTGCGCAGGACCCTATCTCCATCCACTCCCCTTCCCAGGGGTGTGTGGGACCCCATCACTGTACCCAGTCCCAGAGGGGTGTGCAGGGCACCATCCCCTTCCCTAGGGGGTATGTGGGACCCCATCCTTGTCCCCAGGGGTGCGCAGGACCCCAAACCCACCCCACACCCCATTCCCAGGTAGGCATGCAGGACCCTATCCCTAGACATATTCCCGCTGGCACAACCCGTAGGCCTTTTGGGCTCTGTGGGACCCAGAGCTGTTCCCCAACCCTGAGCCAGGGGACAGCCCAGCAGGGCTCCTTGGTGTCCCTAACCCTTATCCTGCCCCACAGCCTGGCCCTGGTCCCCAGCTCGTGGATGATCCCAGCCAGCACCTCCTGGGAGCAGATGGGCTTCCCCGGCGCCACGCCTGAGCCCTGGTGACACCTCCAGGAACACCCCCAGGACTGACTGGACATGCCAGGAAGGCTCTGCCAGTGCCACCCAGGAGGCTCAGGACTCTGAGCCAGGCCTGCTGTGCCCAGCTCTGGGGCAGGATGTGACCCAGGGCTGGTTTTTACTCTTTTGTAAGGAAATACAGGGTTCCTGGCTGTTGTTTTGGGATGTCGGGCTCTGTGTGTGATGCTGGGGGGGACAGCGCCAGCCAAAATGGGAGGCAGGAGTGGGGATAGTTCCTCCTAATGGCTGTGCCTGGGGCTGATACTATCCCCCTGCAGAGCCCCATCTCGCCACATGAACCCTGTCCCCACCATGCCCATTGCGGGGCTGCTCCTGTCCCATATACCCCCCAGTTGTCCCTGCTGGGACTGATCCTCATGACCGCTGTCCCCTGCACATCCCCTGTCCCTGCTGGGACTGATCTGTCCCCCTGCACAGCCCCTGTCCCCCCACATGGTCCCTGTCCCTTGCACATCCCCTGTCCCCTCCCTGTGCCTTGCAGGACTGATCCTGTCATTGATCCCTCAGATGTCCCTTGTGGGGACAGGCAGCTCCGGACCCCTGTCCCCCTAGATGTTTCTGTTGGTGCTGATCATGTCCCCCCACATAGCCCCTGTCCTTTGCAGGACTGATCCTGTCCCACATCTCTCAGGTGTCCCTGCTGGGGCTAATCCTGTTCCCCCCATGTTCCTTGTGGGGCTGATCCTGTCCTGGACCAGACAGATCCTGTCCCCTGCCACGCCATCCTCATCAACCCGGCATGTCCTGTGTCCCCCTGTGTCCCTTGGACTGATCCTACCCCCCCAGACCAGACAGATCCTGACCCCCCCCCACCATCCTCATCACGCCCCACGTCCCCTGTCCCCCCGGGGTCGGTGCCATGTCCCCTCGGGGGGTCCCCGCGGGGGCGTGGCTAATGTGGAAAGGGGCGTGGCCGAGGACCAAGGGGCGTGGTCGGTACTTGGGTTCATTGTATCCGCCTTCCGGGTCGGGACCAGCCGAGCCGAGCCTAACCCGGGCCGAGCCTAACGGGGCTGGGACCAGCCGAACCCCAGAGGGCTGAGCCTAACAGGGCCAGGAGCAGCCAAACTCGCTCGGGCCGAGCCGAACGGAGCCGGGAATAGCCAAATCGGCTCGGGCCGAGCCGATCCCCTCCGGACCATGGGGCAGATCGAGTGGGCCATGTGGGCGAACGAGCAGGCACTCGCCGCCGGGCTCAGTGAGTGCGCGGGACCGAGAGGGGCCGGGAATGCCGGGGCCGGCCGGGGGATGGGGACCCGGGAGCTGGAGGGAGTGAGACCCCGGCGGGCTTGGAGTGCTGAGCCCCGGGGCTACTGAGCCCCGGGGCGCCCCCAGACACGGCCCCGAGGGATGGGAGGGTCCCGGTCCCGCCGACCAAGCGTTGGGGGCTGCCGGGGGCTGCAGGCGGGAGGCGTCGGAACGGCCGGGAAGTCCCGTCCCAGCGGGAGATGCGCAGGGCTGGAAACTTCGCTTCCTCCTTTTCTCTTCCTCCTCTGCCCTCTCTCGCTCCTCTCCTCCTCCACTCCCCTCTCTTCCGCCGGCCACGAGGCCAAAAACCTCCCCGCAAAGTCCCCAAAGCCTGGGGCTCCCCAGTTGCCTGAATCTAGTGGGGCCCGCACACAACATCTGCCTGGCACCCCACTTGTCAAAGCCCCTCGGGGCCATGGGGACGCCCATTTCCCTTCCCTTAATCCAAGGAATCCTACATGTCAGGTCCTCGGGGATCCCCACGTCCCAGGCTTGGGGTATCTTATGTAGGGCATTTGTATCCTGAATTTGGGGGTCTGTATCCTGGGTTTGAGTGTTTGTATCCCGGGCTGGGGGTCCGTATCCTGCCCTGGGGGTCGTGTCACGGACCGGACTCCTCCATCCCGCGCTGTCTCCTCAGTCCTGGTGACGGGTGGGATCGTGGCCGTGGCGGGGCAGTTCAAGGGCTGGTATTTCGCTGCGTACTCCATGTATCCTTCCCGAGAGCATTCCCGGGGCTGGGAGGCAGGAAAACCCTGTCCTGATGGGGGTGGGAAGCACAAACGGGGGGAATCACATCCTCCTCCTCCCCACTCTGGTCCCAGATCGTGCTTTTCCTGCCCCAAACAGCCCCTTCTTGGGGTGAGGGTTGTTCCTTGGGACTGTTCCCACTGCGATCCCCCCTTTCCTTGACCCCATGGCAGTGCGGCAGGCGTTCTGGTCTGCCTGCTCGAGTATCCCAGGAGCAAGAGGAAAAAGGGCTCCACCATGGAGAGGTGGTAAGTGGTGGGTCCCCCTCCCTCACCCCTGGGTTTGGGGTTCTGGTACCCCCCAAACAAAGGGATGTGGCACCGGGGGTGGGAGTGGTGGGGTGGGAGCAGAGCTGGATCCCACGGGGGGGTTCCTTGGAGTGTTCCATGCAGGATAGCGTGGAAATGGGGGTACCTGGGTGGGGATACCCCCTCTGACCCCCAGTGTTGCTCTGCAGTGGCCAGAAGTACATGACAGCTGTGGTGAAGCTGTTTGGGCCCCTGACCAGGAATTACTACATCCGAGCCATCCTTCATGCTGCGTAAGTGGGATACGGGCTCAGGGATGGGGTCCAGCCCCCCTGACACCTCCCTGAACCCCGAATCTCTCCTCCAGCCTGGCTGTCCCCGCCGGTTTCCTCCTCTCCACCATCCTGGGCACCGTCTGCCTGGGCATTGCCAGCGGCATCTACCTGCTGGTGAGTGCAGGGAGGGTTTGGGGGGGTCTTTTGGGGGGGCTGGGAGGAGGACGAGACCCCCCCTGACACCCCCATGGCTTCGCAGGCCGCGGTGCGTGGGGAGGAGTGGAGACCCATCGAGCAGAAGCCCCGGGAGCGGCCGCAAGTGGGGGGCACCATCAAGCAGCCCCCCAGCAACCCCCCACCTCGGCCCCCCGCTGATGCCCGCAAGAAGCAGCCGGCAGAGGCTGGGGGGCAGGTGAACCCCATCCCTGTGGAGGCTGAGTAACGGGGGGACCTGCCTGCCTTGCTCTGCTGCTCCTGCTCCTGCTTCCTAGCTGCTCCCCAGATTCACTGTGGGAAACGGGGGCCCAGCTCCAGGAGATCCCTAAGGCCCTGGGGCTGCTCAGCTCATCCCCAGCTCCTGGCGATGCTCAGATCCCTGAGGATCATCAGTTTCCCCCGGGCTCCCCAGCTCTCCAAAGAATTCCCAAATCCCCAGGGGTGCTTAGTTCCCCAACTTCTGGAGATCTCCAAATCCCTGGGAATGCTGAGCTTCTCAGGACTCTCTTCAGCTCCCGGGGCTCCTCAAATTCCCAGCCATGCGATGCTCCCTGTGGAGTCTCCAGCTCCCAGGGGCTCCCCAGCTTCTGGAGATCCCCAAGTTCCTGGGGATGCTCAGCTTCCTGTGGGGTCTGCAGCCCCTAAGGGCTTCCCAGCTTCTGAGGATCCCCAAAGCCCTGGAAATGCTCAGCTCCCTGAGAGTGTCCCAGCTCTCCAAGCAACTCCCAGTTCCCGGGGGGCTCCCCAAATCCCTGTGGAACACCAGCTCTCAGGGACCCCCAGCCCCAAGGGAAGTCAGGCAGCTCTGCTCTCATCACCAGCTCTCCCTGTTTTTTGTCACTTCCGCAGTTGCTGTTGCAATAAAAAGTGGGAAAGGCACTGGCTGCCCCTGCTTCCCACTCCAGGGAGGAGCCTCCTGCTCCCAGGGAGGGTCTCCTGATCTGGCGAGGCTGGGGCTGGACTGGGGGGACCTTTTGAGGCCAAATGGTGCGATTATGGGCAAACCCAGAGTGGGTGTGCACAGAGTGTGGCCATTGCAGGGTCCCCTCCCAAAATCCTTAAGGACCCAACAGTGGGGTAAAACTGGAGGGGCCCTGCCCTAGAGCTGCACAGAGTGTCCCAGAGGAGCCCCCAAAACCTGGGATGATGCCCCAACAGGGAATGTGGGGTCATTTCCCTTCCCCAGTTCCACTTGTGGGTGCTGGAAGATGCCTGGGTGTGATGTGGGTGCCAAACCTTGACTCTGTTGGGCATCAGCAGCTGCTCCAGACCCCCTCCCTACACAAACAATTTTTTGGGGGGGCACAACCACCCCAGAGCTCGCCCAGGTGCTGGCAGGACAGGTGGGGTGACCCTGGCAGGTGGCACCAGGCTCATGGGACGGGGAAGGTGTGGGTGTTGGGCTGCTGGGGGTGGGTGGCACCCCCGTGCTCTGCTGCCCATTCCATCAACCTCCCGGTTCACCCAGCCCTGCTGCACTGGGTGCGCTGGTGCTTTGCCCACCACGCTGGGGCTAAGGGATGTCCCACAGCCTTACCTTGCCCCATGGGACACCCATGGATGTGCCTCCGCTTCCCAACATTTCATTGCCCTGACTGGGAACAGATCAAGGACTGTTTTGGGGAAGGTCAGCTTTTATTTGCAGCATTAAATAGCACATAGAGAGGAGACAATAAATAGCTTTTAGGGGGAATAAATAACCAGCGAGTGCCTGGGCAGCGCTCGCAAGGTCTGGCCGGGGGGTCTCGAGCACTGTGGGGCGATGCTGGACCCGGAGTCACAGCTGCAGCCAGGGGAGTCAGCAATAAATATGGGGTAAAAAAAGCCCCCTGGCTGCAAGGCTTATAAATAACTCATAAATAATGAGGTAAGGGGCTGGGAGGATGCCCTGGCTGTGGGTGGGTGCTCTAAAACAAGCACGGGTGAGGGGGACGCGGTGACACGGTCACGCTACAGGGGCTCCACGGGAGCAGGGGAGGGTCAGCGCCTGGTGCGGGGCAGGACGCAGGTGCAGCCCACGGGCACCTTGATATAATCCACCTCGAAGGTGACGAGGCCCAGCCCGGCGGGGTGTGGGCAGGGCTTGCGCCGCAGCACCATCATGGTCTGGTGGATGGTCACTGAGTTGAGCGACGTCGTCTCCCGGCCCGTCTTGACATCCACGCAGCCGCTGCACAGGCACTCGGCGAAGGCCAGCTTGCGCGGGTACCGGTTCTCGTCCTCGTCGATGCTGCGGGGACGCGCTCGGTGAGACCCTTCCCTGTGCCCCCTGGGTCACCCCGGCTGGGATCAGCCAACGGGGGTGCAGCGGGAAGGGCGGACATGCGGGTTGGGGTCCCGGTGGGGTGTCGCGCACTCACCGGTAGCGCCACGGGGAGATGGAGCGCTCGTTGGGTTCGCTGCGGAGGCTGGCACGGGTCTGCAGCGCGGGGCAGCCGTGCGGGCGGTGCCGCCGGTGCCGCCGGTGCCTGGTGCTCTCCAGCTGCTCCAGCTGTGGCACCAGCTGCACGGGCACGTAGCGGTCCCAGCGCAGGCTGCGCCCCAGGAGCTGCGCGGGGGCCTCGTCCCCCAGCTCGGCGCCGCTGTAGCACAGCACGGGGTGGGAGTGCGGGGAACCCCCGGGGCGCCGCAGCCCCCTGCACAGCACCAGCACACCCAGCAGTGCCAGGGCACCCAGCCAGCCCTGCGGGAGACAGCGGGTCAGGGGACACAGCAATAACCCCCCACACACCCCCAGAGGGCTCAGGGGTGAGTTGGCATCACCCTCCAGACATGGGGGGGTTCGGCACACAGAGCTGCAGCACAGCCTCCCCAAAATGCGAGCCTGCACCCACATGTGCACCAGCACCCAGAGCGTGGGCACGTGTGTGTATCTATATATATCTGTATTTCTGTATATCTGTATATCTATATCTATTTATCTATCTCTATATTTCAATATCTGTATCTATATATTTCTATATCTACATATCTGTGTAGCTATGTATCTCTCTATATATCCCCACCCCTAAAAAAATAGCGCACATATGTGATACACATATACACACAATATCAACATCACCCCCCATACATACACAGTGACTATCTGTACATATATAGACACACAGGGAATATTTGTATAAAAATATACACACACACATATATATATATATGTGTACACAAAGAGGGCTAGAACAGATGTGTACATCCCTCCACCCCTAAAATAGTGGCATATGTGTGTGCAAGACAGATGTACACACACACACACACACAAAATCAACATATATCCACAACTATACATACACAGCAACTACCTCTATATACACATATATACATCTATATACACACAGAATACAGAATATACACACACACACACACACATACACAGAGGGCCAGCACTCACCTATACATACCCCCAACCCTAAAGCTGTAGCACATATGTGATACAGGCATGTACACACACACACACACACATGTACCCTGAGCTATAAATACACAACAACCACCTGTATATATACACATATATACACACAGAGAAATACTCGTGTGTATATATATGTACACATGTACATACGTACACACACACATATACATACATATACACATATATGTATACATACATACCCACACACGTATATATATATGTACACTCACAGAGCCAGCACACACATATAGCACACCCCCACCCTTACAGGAGTAATGTGTGTGCAAACATGCATGTGCACCCAAACATGTTTACAGCTAATCACATGCAGAAACTACCTGCACGTACACACACACATGCACCTATAGACATCTGTGTACAGGCACAGACACAGATAGAAAGTACCTCTGTTTGTGTGTGTGTGCATGCACACCTGAAATAATAAATAAACAATAAATACCACTTAAATATAAATAAATAATATAAATATATATATTAAATAATAAAATTATACACAATAAAATAATATAACTTCTATTGTTATATTAAAATATTATTAAATAAAATTATAAAATATAAATAATAGATTAAAAACTTGCGATAATAAATAAAACTATGTGTGTATTGATAGCGTATACACACACACAGAGTATCAGCACAGGCACACGTGTGTGCACATGTGAAGATACCAGCACGTGTGTAACACACACATTATCACCAGTGTGTATGCACACATACATAGGTACAAGCACATATGTATATGTACAAAAATATGTATGTATGTATATACATGTATATATGCACATCTACATGCACACTACCCTGCTGTGCACAGACACCTGAGCACACACAGATGGACCCATGTATGTGCACACACACAGATACATGTACGTGTACACACACATGTATGTACACACACAGACATATGCATGTACACACACGTATGTGCACACATAGACATGCATGTGCACACACATGTATGTACACACACGTATGGACACAGAGAGACGTGTATGTACACACACACACACACACACACACACACACACACACACACAAACACAGCGGTATCAGCCCCGGTGCATCTCCACACCCACGCAGAGCTGACAGCACATATCCCTACATGCATATGGCCAGGTGTGCCAGCACACGTACACACACACACACACACACACACACACACACACACACACATCCAAACTGCCCTCCGTGGGCACATGGACACACACACATGCCCCTCCCCAGAAGCCACAAACGCAGGTGTGCACATAATTCTGGGCAGCCCTTGGAGCACTATGTTCCCCCACATATCATACACATATATACATACAAACACATAAACCATAAGTATATGCATATAAACACACATAAATACATATGTCCAAGTACAAACCCAGCAGCACGCACCTGTCCACATGCACACGCATGTTATTGGCATGTATCTACACACACCAGCCTTCATATTCCCACACTTCCAGCTTGGGAATCCTTATACATACACACACACACACACATAAACACACCTGTGTACAGGTGTGTATGCACACACAGAGCCCTGCACAACATGTAACACACACACACACACACACACACACACACGTATGTGCCCACACACTCCCAGCAGCCCCATGCTCACACCTCCCAGCCCCCCCCAACCCCACGTTACCATCAGCCAGGTGTCGAGGGAACACGCCAAAATTTAGGGGGGAACACGCCAAAATTCCGAGGGGACCCCTTGGGAAGTGCTGCCCCAGGGATGAGGCGGCCGAGTGGCAGCGCTGCCGCTGCCGCCGCCTTTTTATAGGGCTCGGCAGGTGATGTGCACACACCTGGAAACTCCAGCTCCAGGTTCCTTCCTCCTCCCCGCGGGCCGGTGCACTTCCTTCTCTACTCCACGTGTGCCAGCCTGGAATACAGCCTGACACCTCCAGGATTTCAGGAGGGAGGATGGGGAAGGGTGTCCAGAGGCTTGGCTGCCCCGATGACACGGTGATGGGCATCCCCCAGGCCATGCCCGTTGCATCACCCAAGCAGTGATATCACCGGGGCTGCCGGAGCAGAAATCCCAAGTTAGGCAACCCTGGAAAGGGCTGAAGGGCAGCGATTACCCCCCACTTTTTGCTCCAGGATGTCCCAGTGGCCCCTAACAGCACCAGTGGGATACTGGTTTCATGGTGTAAAGAGCAGGGCTGGAGGATGGGAAATTCCAGAGCACTGGGAAGGCAGGGACCCCAAATATTGTTCCTTAAATTAGGGGGATTTATCAGAGGGACCTTCAGATGATCCCACCCTTGGCACTGTCTGCAGAGACTCCCACTTACCACCACCAGTGGGATACTGGTTTAATACTGGGTGCAAGAAGCAGGGCTGGAGGATGGGAAATTCCACGGCATTAGGAGTTCAGGAACCCTAAACATCACCTCTAAATGAGGGAGGTTTATCAGAGGCACCCCCAGATGATGTCCCTCACTAACATGTAATACCAGTGTGATACTGGTTTCATACTGGGAGCCAGAAGCAGGGCTGGAACCTGGGACAGGGAGTTCAGGGACCCTAGAAATGGTTCCCTAATTGAGGGGGGTTTATATGGGACACCCCCAGGTGATATCAGACGCTGGGCCCCCACTAACACCAGCAATGGATACTGGTTTCATACTGGGTGCAAGGAGCAGGGCTGGAGGGGAAAGGCACACTGGGGGTTCAGGGACCCCAAACATCAACCCCTAAATAAGGGGGGTTTGTCAGAGGGACCCCCAGATGATAACCCCCACTACCAGTGGGATACCGGTTTTACACTGGGAGCAAGGAATAAGACTGAAGGTAGTGAAATTCCAGGGGATTGGGGGTTCAGGGACCCTAAACATCACTCCTAAATGAGGCGGCTTTATAAGAGGCACCCCCCAGACGATGCCAGCCAGGGCATGAGCTGCAGAGCTCCCCACTAACACACCACTGGGATATTGCTTTCATACTGGCTGCTCCCCCAGGAGACAGGGCAGCTCTTCCAGCTCCATGGAGTGGCAGAGTTGGAAAAATAAACTACAACCCCCCTCAAACTGAGGGGTACAGACTCCCAAGGCAGGGGAGAGGGTGGAGAGAGGATGCAGAGAAGAGCAGTAAAAGGAAAAACTGGTTATCAAAATACTTTATTTCAGGGAGATCCCTCAAAAAAAAAAAAAAAAAAAAAAAAAAAAAGAAAAAAAGAGGGGGAAAAAAATCAAAGGAAGAAGGACCCTCCTGTTAGACGGACATGCCCACAACACCTGCAGGGCTCCTGGGAAATCAACTGAACCAATCCGCTGCTCCAAAGAAAGGACAGGTCATTCCCGAAGGGATTGAGGCAAGAATATATATATATTTGTTCCTGGGGGAGGAGGGGGTGTTGCCAGCAGTTCACAGCAGTTTTCGGCTCTCTCGGCACACAGGAACTAGAACTGCATTGCTGAAGACACTCAACACACAGCAGGGCTAACTAGGAGAATACAACTCGAGGCTAGCAAAGAGGGGAGGGGAGAGAGGAGAAGTGGGAGCATCCCACGGGGCTGGAGTCCTCTGTGCAGAATTTACACGGCTCCGGAGCCACTGGCCCTCACGGAGCCGGAGCGAGTCGTCGCGGGAGTCTCGGCTGACAGAACTTCCTTAATTTTTTTGTTTTGTGTGGGTTTTTTAAAAAGAATCGCAGCCAAAATGAAGACAGAACTGCAAAATCCCAAAGTGGCCGCTTTTTCCACTATTTATAAAAACATCAACAGTCACTACAGGGCATGGCCCACTATACTTTTCCCGGGATTTTGGCCCGCTTGCGAGCGATGGCGTCTTCCACCGCCTTGAGCTGCTTCAGGAGCTCCTCCCGCCGTGACAGGGTGCTGGACTTGCCCCCCTTGACGGCTGCAGGACCCGGGTCGGATGCCTTGCCCGGGACACTCGTGACTTTGCTGGAGCTCTTGGATTGAGGGGAGAGCTGGCGTTTCCTGTGTGAGAGAGAAGGGAGAGGTAGGTGAGAGGCACTGGAAAAACCTCAAAGACATCTGCCCTGGCAGGATCATTAAGGATGGAAAAGACATCATCAAGTCCAAGTTTCAACTGGATCCCACCATGCCCACTAAACCATATGGAATCATGGAATGGCTTGGGTGGGAAGGGATCTAAAATTTCATCCAGTCCCACCCCCTGCCATGGGCAAGGACACCTTCCACTAGCCCGGGTTCCTCCAAGCCCTGTCCAACCTGGCCTTGGCCACTTCCAGGGATGGGGCAGGCACAGCTTCTCTGGGCAACCTGTGCCAGGGCCTCACACCATCACAGGGAAGAGTTTCTCCCTAATTTCTGATCTAAACTAATCTATCAGGAAGTGTCACACCTAACACATCACTCCAAGAGCTGGTGAGAGAAAATGAGAGGCCTTGGGTTAAAAACTGGCTGAAATAGTAAAAAAATCAGCTGTTCCAGGGAGAGTCCCAGAATAAACTCGGCACCACGGGCTGTGCCATCTCTTGGGTGCAGTGGGCAGCTCAAGGGAGTGGCAGAGACACAAAGAGGGGTGAGCAGCCCTGGAGCAGCCCCACAATCCCAAATCCTGACAGCCCCTTCCCTGTGATGCCACTGGGCCTTGTGGTGCCCTGGAGAAACCAAGTGTGTCTGTAACCCCCTCCTATCCCCCAGATTGGCATAGGGTACATCAAATCCACCATGTGCCACTGCCAACTCAGTGAGCAGCAGGATTAGAGGGTCAGGAATCATTGATGTGATACCAGCACTGGGCTGGAATGGCTGAGGTTCCCGTCACTGCTGGAAAACAGGACCTGAGGGCCTGAGGCAGGACAGGGCTGTGGCAGCAGGGTGAGGTTTTGGTTTGGAAAGACTCTGAGACGTGGAAATTGAGGCTCATTCGTGGCCCAAGCTGGGAGAAGGGAAGGGAAGGGATGGCACAAGTGCAGTCAGCCAAGGAACACTGGGATGCGTTTGCTTCCAGAGATCCTTGGAGAGATGACACCGGAGAAGTGCAAAGCAGCATTGTCTGGCTGTGGGCCTGAGGGAGCCCCAGGTGCTCCACAATCTTCAGCCCTTGAAGCCACATGTCCAGTCCTGCAATGGGATACTCCCAGCACAGCAGTGGGCACAGCCTGCCAGGAATTTGGACATGAGCTGGTCACCTGTCACCTGAGGGGATGGCAAAGCGCAAAGCCAGGGCTGTCAGGGGACACGTTTTAATGTGTCACAGCAGCAAGGTGAGCCAGGCTGGGAAAAATGGGAATCAGGCACTGGAGCCAGGTGCCAGGAGGAGCTGGGTAGCAGCGGGTGAAGGGGTTGTACTCTCTTGCTCATTAACACTATGCTAAACGAGGCACTGACGGGGCTCACACCTGACCCACTTGGCTCCTCTTGCTGGGACTGACCTCAAGAAAACCCCTGGGCTCCGGCTCGTCTCCGAGCTGGAATGGCTGAGCTTTGCACGGAGCCTTGAGCACCTCTGGCACCTGCCCAGGGAGCAGCGCGTCCTTCCTCCTGCTGTGCTCCATGGCAACTGGGAACTGTAGGCCTAGAGCCCTGGAGCTGCCCTGGGAAAGTGTGAGCCCAGCCTGGCCCACAGGGAGCCCAGAGAACAAGCAGCACTCACCTGTCTGCCTGGGCAGGGGAAGGTTTTGGGTTCTGGCCCCTCTGTCGCTCCTGTTTGGGGGATGAGAGTCTCCCAGTCGCCTTCCTGTCGCGAGAGCCTGTTGGGAGAGGAAAAGAAAGAGGAAGATATTCCTGCTTGTCACCAAGGCACAGTTCACTTCTCTACCTGCTGAACCCTCCCAGCAGTGTATCAGTGCTCTCTTGAAACCAGATCATGCCAAAAAAAGGCCCAGTCCAGCAGCAGCCAGGAAAAGAACCTCCTGCAGCGTTCCCCCCACTACAGGGGGAGCAGAGAAACCAGTGAGGGCTGTGCCCCACAGTCCCCTGTACACATCATCACCTGTGGGGAGGGCACTGGCTTCTCCTCATCCTCCAGCTGCTGGAATAAGGCATTTTTTGCTCGCAAACCTGTTGGCTCTGCACTGGCAAGGTCACAGGGTGTACTGGCTCAAAGAGTGACAGGTGAGGGCAGCTCTGCTGCTTTTGGAGCCAACAGGACCATCCTTCAGGCAACATCACTCCCATGTTTGTTCACAGGCTGAGCTGTGATGCCCTGCCTGGAACTGTCATGGGGGCTCAGGGATGAAGGGAAGCTCACTGGGGTCCTGGAAAGGTGCTCAGTCCCTCCTGGCAGCAGCACCTCTGTGTGTCAGGGCATCCCTCTGCTCCCGAGGATGGACACTGTGACAGCCCAGGCTCTGGACACCACAGATCCAGGTGAGACTGACTCAGGGCACCACCACTGACCAGTCTGGTGCTGGAACACCGAGGGGCTCAGTCCCAAGTCAGCCAAGGATACCTTTGCCACTGGGATTTGAGACTTCAGGGCTTGGACTCCCCATCACTGAAAGTGTTCCAGGCCAGGGTGGATGGGGCTCAGAGCAACTTGGTCTAGTGGAAGGTGTCCCTGGCCCATGGAGGGGGGGTGGAACGAGATGAGCTTTAGGGTCTCTTCCAACCCAAATCATTCCATGATTCTGTGATTTGCTACAGCTTAAAAATTGCTTTATAAGACCAAGACAAGAAATAGTACAGAATTACATCTATGTTTATATCTGTAAAATACGTTGGGTTGGCCCATTCACTCGTCTGCAACTCAGCAGCCTGTGAACTAGATCCCAGTGAACTTCAACCTCACCCAGTCCCGTCCATGCTGCCTCTGCAGGAGTCGAATGCAACCAGGTTATTAGCACACAAATTCTTGCTGGCTGGGACCCAGAGTCAACAAGATCCACCTACAGCTGAGCCACCAGGGAAAACAACATCACGTGGCAGCGCTGGCTTCGACGTCACAACCAGCCACCTCTGGCTGCCAACTCCCCCCACCCCCTGTGCTTTCTGGCAGCGACAGCACAGGCTGGAGTGTGGCACTGAGTTCCCTCTCTTCGGATCACCAG